CCAAATTATGCAGATTGATAAATAGTGGAACATATATCATTAAAATGTGGAACTACAGTTGCTAAATTTTGAAATCATATATGCATATTGTGGAATCATAATTATGCAGATTGATAAATAGTATGATTATGCCAATTAATAACATGGAATCATAATTATGTAGATTGATAATTATCAAGATGCATAATTTTGTGTAACATGTGTGATTGATAATTGAATTGACATTGAACTGCTATGTTTGTAAAACTGCATATGAATTGACATTGAACTGCTACGTTTGTAAAACTGCTATGTTTGTTCAGTTTGAAATTGCTATGTGTGTTCAAATGACTAAAGAAAATGACCTCTGTTCAGTCTTAATCACAAATGCTATGTTTGAAACTGAAGAAAATGACTGACATTGAACTGCCATGTTTGTTCAAATGTTATTAATAGTTTAGTCTGTGTAACCTCTGTTCAAATGCTATTAAGCATGGTAGTTTGAACAAATACAATGTTAACAGTAATGACATACACTCTGTCCCTCAAATTCAAATAGAATTGCTATTAACCCTATCAAACACAAGCATAGCATTAGCAACATAGAATTTTATTATGGAACATAACATTATGGAACATACACAAATAGATGTTTCTCATGTATGCAGATTTAAAAAATGGCTTCTTCTTCTAACATTAGCAACATAAGATTACTACTGAGGTTGTGCAATTGTGGAAGAACCGCTGCCATATATATTGTAAGAACCAATGAGAATGGAAATCAATGGCGTTTGTTCTTTGTTTGCCCATCAAAATATGTAAGTATGTATTGGAAATTTTAATCCTTTAGTAGTCACATTAATATTTGTCTTATTCAACTAACTGATTGTCATGCATTGTAGAGTAACACTCCCACTCCCCATTGCAATTACTTCAAGTTCGTGGATGAAAATGATGAAGACGTTACGTCCAGAATCCGTTCCAACACTAGAGCTTGTGATGCTATAACAGTAGAAGACTTTAACGATGTAAGGACGAGGCTTCATGACATGGAAAATGACTATGGTCAAAGGCTTGAAAGGATAGAAAATAATATCAAAGCGATGGTGTATTTCATTATATTTTCTATCATTTTGTACTTTATCATGTAACTTTTGTACTTTATTGTATTTTGAGAAATTGAATAAAAGTTTCTACCATTTTTGGTTGTATTGTACTTCATGATGTAACTTATGTTTATGGAATAAATGTTATTATGATGTAACTTATGTAACTTACTTAATAGCTTTGTGGAATGAATTTTATTAGGAAATGAATGTATGGAATGAGTTTTATAAGTTATTATGATGTAACTTAGAATTTTATTATGGAATGAAATTTGGGAAACATTGGTCTCATTGTTAGAGTTTTGCGGATGCTATTTGGCAGATCTGTGGATGAATTTTGTGGATGCTAGGTAGATGAATTTTGTGGATGCTTTGTGGATGAATGAATTTTGTAGATGCTTTGTCACTTATCTGTGGCCTGTTATCTGTTGCAGGTTTTGTTATTTGGTGAATGAATTTTGATTATAATGAACAACTTCTGTTATTTGTTGCAGGTTTGTTTCTAATGAACAGATTTGGCAGATCTGTTATATGTCAACTAGTATCTGTTTGTCACTTATCTGTGGCCTCAAATATTATTTGTTAGCAAGTTTAAAGCAGATTTGGCAGATCTGTGGATGCTGTTTGTTGATGATTTGGTTCTAATGAACAAGTTCTGTTATTTGTTGAAGATTTGTTTGGCATCAAAATTGCATCTGTATTGCATCAAAATTGTATCTGTATTGCATCAAAATTGCATTTGTATTGCATCAAATTGCATCTGTTATCTATTGCAGATCTGTTTGGCAGATCTGTTGCAGATATGTAGCTGCTATTTGGCATCTAAACAAAATTGAACATCACCCAAGCATGTAAACAAAATTGCATGAATTGGCAGATCTGTTTGGCATCAAAATTGCATCTATATTGCATCAAAATTGCAGCAAATTGCATGTAAACAAAATTGCATCCATATGTAAGTTATTTGGCAGATCTGTTGCAGATCTGTGGCTGCTATTTGGCATCTAAACAAAAGTGAACATCACCCAAACATCTAAACAAAATTGCATCAACTGGCAAATATGTTTGGCGTCAAAATTACATCTAAACAAAATTGCACCCAAGCATCTATTTGGCAGATTTGTTGCAGATTTGTGTACCTGTTCTTTCACACAAGAAAATCTGTGGATGCTATTTGGCAGATCTGTTGCCAATCTATGTACCTATTCTTTCACACAAAACAAAATCTAAAAATTTGAACACACACATTGGTCCATTTAAAAATCAATCAGAAGAAAATGAAATATAATATCAAGTGTAAATTAACATCAAGTGAAGTTTGCTCACATTGGTCCATCTAAATTAACACATTGGTCCACACATACAACCCATTAACATACAAGCCATTAACATTTGAACACATAAGTACACAGAATTTTCCAGCAAGACATTACTTCACAAGCCATTTGAACACACATACAAGCCATTACTTGACTTTCCAGCAACAACACAATTTGAACACATATACAACAGTAGTTTGAACACACATTTTGAACATAATTTGAACACACATACAGCAGCAGTTTGAACATCACTTTGAACATCACTTTCCAGCCAATTTGAACACTTTGAACACACAATTTGAACATCACTTTCCAGCCAGCAAGCCATTTGAACACACATACAAGCCATTACTTCACTTTCCAGCAACATCACAATTTGTGCAGCAACATCACTTTCCAGCAGCAGTTTGCTTCACAATTTGAGCTGCTATGACTTCACTTTCCAGGCCAATTTCAGCTTCAGTTTGCTTCTCTTTCTGCTTGTGCATAGCCTAAAACGGAAAAAGACAGAATTTTCCACATTTTTCAGCAGCTAAATACATACTTTAAAATGAATTTTCGGCAAGTAAATACATGTTTTAACAAAATTTTCAGTAACTAAAAAGCAAGAATTTTCAGCAACTACAAATTAAAAAGGCATCAAGGACGAACCTGACTACACATTGGATTGTTTGATTCTTGAGAATATTGAAACCCAATGTCATATCCACATGAACCTTGAAGTAGTGACTGGAATGTTGGTTGCACAGAATACCGTTGAGGCATTGAATTTGGCAAAGAATTTGGCACTACATACATATCCCGCAAATTGTTCGCCTACAAAAATGTCATATATTAGGCTTTGCAATCATGGTTTGAGTCACATATTATATCTACACAAAAAATACAATGTTAAAGTAACACTTACATGATATGTGGGATACATCAATGGTGGAGGAATAGAATTACCATCCATGGGCAAAGATGGAGGAAGAGGATGAAGGAGAGGAAGAGGTTGAAGAGGAGGAACATGTTGACGAACATAGATATCTCCTCAAACAGATAATGGAGAAGGTAAAACTGTTGGACTTGCAATAGATTGTGACGAAGCCAAGCTGTTAGCACGGGATTTTTTTTTGGAGTTTGATACCAACGCTGCTTCGAATCCACCTTTTACCCTCATTTTGCCGTACTAGTTGCCACATTTTTCTTCAATCCTTTTGGTTGCACAACATGATTCATATCTTCGCAATCCATTTCAAAGCTTTGGGTGTCATCATCATTACTTACTTCATTTCCAACACCAAAATGAGCACTTAACTTGCCTTCAACATTTGCACCTAATGTAACAAGGTGTGCAATACAAAAATCATAAGTTTCTTCAGTTTCAGCAGCTCTACTTGCTAGTGCTCTAAATGCTGTCATCAATGTCTTATACTGCGAGGGCTTGTTGGAATTTCACATCCACTTCAATGTCATTCCCTTTAATGTCCATCACAGTTTCGGCTCTTGCTTGTTTGGTCCACCTCTTTAGAATGTATTGTGGAAGAACCTCTTTCATCTTCAATATGTCTCTAATAACCTTCAATGAGTGGCAACACAAGATTTCTTTCCTTTCAAACTCTGTACAATTATAACCCAAAGAGCCATCCCTCTCCATCTTCACTTTCCTTGCATGTTTGTTAGCAACATCAACAACTGTGTAAATGGTACTAGCATCGCCATATTCAATTGCTTCTATGTCTGATTCAATGGATCGAAAGTACTCATTTTGAAATTCCTCAAATATCTTTTTTGTGTAGACATTACCCATTTGAATTAACATTCTTATTGTTGCTTTCGCCTTTGGCAACCTTTGGCACAAAGCATATCCTACTTCTAACTCCTTGTATCGCTTCTCGTAAAGTACCCTTTCGAAATGCATGAAGAATTCATTTAAGTTAAAATCAGAATGAATGTAATCCTTCAAAAAAGCATTAAAAGATTCATTAAGTTGTGTGGTACTCATTCCCGCAGCCCATGTTGATCTAACATATGGCTAGCCCCATTTTTCTTTCACCGCAAAAGTCAATTTCAACCAATGGTTTTCACGCACATCATATTTATCAAGCATTTCCGCCCACTCTAACTTCCATTGATTTGCATCTTCAATGTCAAAGAAGAATTTATTTAGTAAACCCTTTAGCTCCTTATCTTAGAACAAACAATTAACATGTTTTAATGCATTTTGCATCAAATGCCAATTACACAATCGGCGACTTGTGTCAGGTATAACGATAGGTATGGCTTTAGCCATTGCAGCATCTTGATTGCTGAAGAAAATTTTTGGTGCCTTTCTTGATATAGCCTCTAGAAAATTTTCAAACAACTATACAAACGATTCGGCGGTCTCATCATACAATAATGTTGCACCAAATATAATTGTTTCCCTATGATGGCTGAATCCCACAAAAGATGCAAAGAGTCTATGTTCTTTGTTTAACTTGTAAGTCATATCAAATGTGACAACATCACCAAATTGGGCATAATCCATGATCATTTGTGCATCGACTCAAAACATATTGGTTATTTGCTCCTCATTATCTAATTGAAAAGCATAAAAGAAGGAAGGATTCTACAAAGATTTTTCTTTAAAGTATTGCAACACATTACCTACTTCCCCATATGCTAAACTTTGTTGTCTTTTGGTTCTCAAATAATTTTTTTGATCTAATTTTGTAAACCCAAGACATTGCCTCCCACCGGCTTCCTTACCCATGAGTTCAATAGACTGGCCTAAACGAAGATCAGATTGTGCCGCCAAATCTAACTCAATTGCTTGGGTAGTCGATATCTTTCTTTGTGACGGCAACATGTGGGCACACTCGGGTGATACAAGATCATGGTTATGTTTTTCTTTGAAATCAGTCACAACAAATCTCCCAGTACCCTCATCTAATTTAACATAAAGTCGAGCCTCACAACCAGTCCTAGTTTCAGCTCTAGTATTTTTTGCCAATGGGTCTCGTTTGTCAACCTTCCGAAATCCCTCCTTGTTGCAAACCAAAAATCTACAAATAAGTTGGTTAGTGAACTTGTTCTTCCTACAAAAATCCCTTCTTATGCTAAACTCGATTCTTCCTCCATATGTATTATGAAAATCATACACACTTTGTTCAGAATCAAATGTCATTCCATGTTTTGGCTTCCAAGCACAATCATTCTCAGGTTCCATATCCATATCAAAATGCAACTGAAAACCCATATAAATAAAATCTTAGCTACATAAATAATATATTTATTTCATAGACAAAAGAAAACAAGAACAAATCAATTAAAGTGTCTAAGAAATGAGAACTACACAAAAGTTATGCAATTAAGATCAAATAATAAATCAATTACACTAGAAACAAGAAATGAGAACCATATGGCCAGCCCCAATTAAGATCAAATAATAAATCAATTACACTAGAAACAAGAAATGAGAACCATATGGCCAGCCCCAATTAAGATCAAATAATAAATCAATTACACTAGAAACAAGAAATGAGAACCATATGGCCAGCCCCAATTAAGATCAAATAATAAATCAATTACACTAGAAACAAGAAATGAGAACCATATGGCCAGCCCCAATTAAGATCAAATAATAAATCAATTACACTAGAAACAAGAAATGAGAACCATATGGCCAGCCCCAATTAAGATCAAATAATAAATCAATTACACTAGAAACAAGAAATGAGAACCATATGGCCAGCCCCAATTAAGATCAAATAATAAATCAATTACACTAGAAACAAGAAATGAGAACCATATGGCCAGCCCCAATTAAGATCAAATAATAAATCAATTACACTAGAAACAAGAAATGAGAACCATATGGCCAGCCCCAATTAAGATCAAATAATAAATCAATTACACTAGAAACAAGAAATGAGAACCATATGGCCAGCCCCAATTAAGATCAAATAATAAATCAATTACACTAGAAACAAGAAATGAGAACCATATGGCCAGCCCCAATTAAGATCAAATAATAAATCAATTACACTAGAAACAAGAAATGAGAACCATATGGCCAGCCCCAATTAAGATCAAATAATAAATCAATTACACTAGAAACAAGAAATGAGAACCATATGGCCAGCCCCAATTAAGATCAAATAATAAATCAATTACACTAGAAACAAGAAATGAGAACCATATGGCCAGCCCCAATTAAGATCAAATAATAAATCAATTACACTAGAAACAAGAAATGAGAACCATATGGCCAGCCCCAATTAAGATCAAATAATAAATCAATTACACTAGAAACAAGAAATGAGAACCATATGGCCAGCCCCAATTAAGATCAAATAATAAATTAATTAAACTATATAATCCCAAACTCCAACTACTTGGTTCTCCTTCAAGTGTCTAAGAAAAGGTATGCAAGCCAAGTACCTTTGGTAACAATGATTCATGGCCAACAAGAGTCGTTTAGTTTTGGGTTGGGTCACTACACAGGGTTTGGCAAACCTATTGTAGCTCAACGGATACAAAATAACATAAAAATACAATTTGTCACCTTTAACACTGAAATTGAATGTATAACAAGTGAATTGAATGTATAACAAATAAAAATACAAAATATTAAATCAATTATAACAAGTGAATTTTTTTATCTGTCTATAGGTTCACATGAAATTGAATGTATTTCATTGACACAGTATTTTTAACATTGAAAAACCATTGAAATACACAATGTTGAATGTATACTATTGAATGTATTTCATTGGATGTATTTTTAACATTGAATGTATTTCACTGGTACACATTTGATTCTGAACAATCATACAAATAAACAATATTTTTAACACTGAAATACCATTGACAGTGTAAATTGAATGTATTTCATTGTTATTACAGACATACAATGAAGACTATGTTTTTGCACCTTGTTAAATACACAGTCGTTTCTGCTTCTCCACACTGACCACATTACTGCTACCGGCAGTGTTTTCCAAACTGTTAGCATCTTCTTCTTCATTTTTATCTCTGGCCATGACAGCAATAAACCCTCCACTGATCCAGGGCTAACCCATTTGTAATTCCACCAGTTCACCAAGTTGGCCCACAATTTCCAAGTGAAATGGCAGTGAATAAACACATGATTAACAGTCTCCACCTCAGATTTACAAAACACACAGAGAGAAGAAGCGTTTGGGCTCAACACTCCAACTTTTTGCAACAATTCATAACACTTTACCCTTCCTCTCCACGCTAACCAACTCAAGAATTGAGCTTTAGGAGGGGCTAAATTGATCCAAATACACCTAGTTACTGCAATATCTACCCCTTGACTTGCTTCCATCCACTTCCACACTGATGCCACGGTGAACTCTTCAGACGGGTGAGCTACCCAGGAACAAGAATCTACCATCTCTTCATTGATCCTAGGCGCATTTTGCAGGAAATCATTTAGTTTCTGCACTTCCTCCTCTTCCCATGCTAGGAGGGGACGTCTGAAGACCAGGTTCCAATCTGAATCTGACACTCTTCTATGTACAAAATCGACCAGCTTTCCATCTTTTTCAACTGATAATGCGAATAATCTGGGAAAAGACACACTCAGATTTTGATTGTGGCACCACTTATCAAACCAAAAATGTATCCTTCTGCCGTTTCCAACAACTAGCCTAAAATTTTGCCAAAAAAATTCCCGCAGAGCAATGTTCCCTTCAGCCACTGATGTTATGCCTCTCCACGTATACGACAGTCCCACTGAACTAATGAATAAGGGGCACCACCTGCCACCTACACCGCCATACTTACTACAAATCACTTTTTTCCACAAGGCTGCCTCCTCATTTCCATACCTCCACCACCATTTAACTAGCAGACACTCATTAACCTGGCCTAGGTTTCTTACCCCTAGCCCACCCTTGTTTTTGTTTACACATATCTCTTTCCAGCTAATTAGGTGCAGTTTCCTCCTAGTTTCCGACCCTCCCCAAAGAAAGTTAGCTTGAATTTTGTGGAGTACTTTTGCAATGCCCACCGGCAGCTTGAAGATGGATAAGAAGTACACTGGCAAGCTTGACAAAACGGACTTGATCAACGTTAATCTCCCAGCGAACGATAGATACCTCCTCTTCCAAGAAGCTAACTTGCTCTTAAACTTGTCTATTACAGGTTTCCAAGCAGCCTTTCTCCTTGGATTTGTTCCTAATGGCAACCCCAGATAACTCATTGGCAACTTTTGACTTAGGCAATTTAGTTTCTTTGCGAAGACCTGTACAATATCATCCTGAACGCCTACCCCACACACCTTGCTTTTGTGGAAATTTATTTTGAGCCCAGACATCACCTCAAAGCACCTTAGAATTCTTTTCACGGCTACAACTTCCTCCCACTCAGCTTCACAAAAAATGATGGTGTCATCGGCAAACTGCAAATGCGTAATTTTCAACTCAGTTGGACCTGCAGATACTCCTCTTATCAATCCCACTTCCTTAGCTCTTTCTAAGAGAATGTTCAAACCCTCCGCTACAATATTGAAAAGGAACGGAGAAAGCGGATCTCCTTGCCTGAGGCCTTTCATGGGGGAAAACTCAGAAGTAGGTGACCCATTAACTAGCACTGAAATTCGAGCTGTGGATATGCAGGTCTTTATCCACCCCACCCATTTCTCTCCAAACCCGAAATTTTTCATCATCGAGTACAAGAACTCCCAATTTACGGAGTCATATGCTTTTTCAAAATCCAACTTTAAGATGAGCCCTTTCTTCTTCGACCTTTTCCACAAATCCACCACTTCATTAGCAATCAGAACCCCATCTATAATATGTCTACCTCTCAAAAAAGCAGTTTGCACTTCACTAATAATCTTGGGCATCACTCTCCTAAGCCTTTTTGACAAGATTTTAGCGACAATTTTGTATATAGAGCTAATCAAACTTATGGGCCTATAATCTCCCAACCCCACAGGGTTTTCCTTCTTAGGAATCAAAGTAATGAATGAGCTATTTATTCCTTTGGCTAGCTTCCCGTTAGCATGAAACTCCTTCATCAATTGCACAAACTCACCTTTCATGATGTTCCAACACTTTTGAATACATTGTAGATTAAAGCCATCTGGCCCCGGCGCTTTATTCCCATCACAACCTTTTATTGCTTCCCAGATTTCATCTTCCAAAAATTCTGCCTCTAATAGCTCAGCTGAGTCAGTTGAATTGATTGAGGCAAAAAAACCTGACAGCTTTGGTCTATTCTTCCATTCCTCATTGAAAAGGAGCTTGAAATGCCTTACCACTGCCCGTTTAATCATCCCAGGCTCATCCTGAATCACCCCATTCACATTGACTGAGTCTAGCAAGTTTTTCCTCTGCCTTTTGGTTGCCATTAAATGGAAAAATCTGGTATTTCTATCCCCGTTTTCAGCCCATACCCTTCTAGATTTTTGAAGCTACAGCCAATCCTTCTTCTTACTAAGATCCCAAACTAATTTCCTAATTTCTACCCTTCTTTTTAACTCAGCATCCAGTAAATTCCTTTCTTCAGCTATCAGATCCCACTCGTGCAATTCCTCCTCAGCTTTTTTCAGATTCTCTTCAATGTTGCCAAAGACTTCACTATTCCACCTCTTCAGATGGACTTTCAGATGACCCAGCTTTTTCAAAAATCTGAAACTAGCCCAACCACTTACCTGGTGTCCTTCCCAACAGTTCTTCACTTCTACTTTGAATTTGGGATGCAAACACCATGCATTTATAAATCGAAACGGTTTTGGGCCCCAATCCCTCTCATCCTCCATAAGAAGTATGGGACAGTGATCAGAGATACACCTAGGCAGTCCCCATTGTTTAAACTTGAACTCTTCCAGCCACCTGGGGTCGATTAAGAATCTATCTATTCTACTCCATCTATTCCCATCCATCGCATTACACCAAGTATACTGCCTACCTAGCATTTGCATATCTACCAGCTCCAGTTTATCAATAAAATCATTAAAATCCTTCATCCCTCTTTCCTTTCTAGAGCACCCTTTCCTTTCACTCCTAAATCTGATTTCATTGAAGTCACCTCCTATGCACCAAGGGCTTAGGTAGGACTGATTCAGTGTTGCTAGGGCCTCCCAAAGTTTCCTTCTTTTGATTACATCATTAGGTGCATACACATTAATAATAGTACAATTAAAAGTATGATGGGCCATACCTGCTAAAATCGCGAAGCTCCTAGCACTAAAGCACTCCTTGAGCTCAAAAATCTGTGGATTCCACAAGCATAGCAACCCACCTGCACTTCCATCTGCACCCACCTCCATGTACTCCAGCTCCTCCCACGGCCATAAGGACTTCACAAAATTATCAACTACTGAGCTTCTCTTAGTTTCCTGAATCAGAAGGACGTCTGCCTTCCTCACCCGAACTAGACTCTTTACTTTTGATCTCTTCTCGGGTCTTCGCAAACCCCTAATGTTCCATGATAATAAAATCATATAGAAATTACACATCTCCTGTAAAACTCCACCTTTTAGTCCTTACCAGACTTACGGCACTACAGCTTTCCCTTTCACTCTCTCCTTATCCTTCGCTTCGAGTTCAGCCAACTTGCCCATCACCTCAGTCTCCTTACCTTCAAAATCCAATCCCAGAATTTTCCCAACTTCCATGGTAGCTTGGGCTTCACTTAATAATTTGTTTCTCCTCCTGGTGTTGAGACTTTGCTCTACTGACATTGATATAGCAGCTGCAGCTGCTCTGAAGATAGCTCATTTCTTGAAACATTTGCTGCGCATCGCTTCTTTGTGCTTGATCTGTTTTTTGTTCGGTTTTGACCTATTACGCAGATTAGCACCATCTAGATTACATCTATCTACCATTGCTTGGGTGGGCTTACCTTTCCTTGGTGGGTTAGCTTTGACTGATGCTCTTAGCTTATCTTCTTGTTGAGCACTGGATCTAAGCTGAGTTTGGGCTACACAATCACTGAGATTTGAATAATCCGTGGTGGGCCTATTCTTCTGGACCCCATCCTGCAGCCCATCCAGCACCACCTCTATATTTAGTTTAGGCCTTAAGCCCTCTGGCCCACTGAGGCTTCTGATAAACCCAGGGATACAAACATGGCCTTTCATAATTTGAATTTCATTTCTTGAAGTTGCCGTGCTCACCAACCTATCCTCCAGACTACCTCCTCTGACTTTTTGATTTCCCATGCCGTCCTCTGTTTCCTTTACGGCTGAGACAGATAGGCACTCATTACCTTCAACTTTTTCCCCTGCATCGCAGTCCATCATAACCTGTTCCTCCTTCCTTTTGTGTTCATCTTCATGTTCTTCCTTGTCTGCCTCACCATTTTTCGACAATTGATCCACTTCATCTTGAGCCATAGGACCAGTGACCTCATTTTCCAAGTAAGAACTACAGCAATGACATGGCTCACCTGCTGTTGGGATCTCCTCACACACTCTAACTGGGAATATGTTTCCATTACATTCAACATGGATCACCGTATTGATGAACTCCATTGTGGAAGTAATCACACGCACCTTACCCCACTTAAAAGAACTTTGTGTAGTAATGGCATCATCAAATTGAACAACGTCACCCCACAGCTTGCCAATGTCTGTAAATGTACTGACACTCCACAAATTTGGTGGTACACCTGTACATGTTAGCCACACACACCTATCCTGTTCTATATACTTGCCTTTGTCCCAATCTGTAGTAGAATCACACCATTCTAGCATCCACTCTTGTAGCTTGGTTGTAGCCTCCTTTTTATGTTGCTGGGACTTAAAAGTTAGCAGTGCTACCCTTCCTCCTCCTTCTCTGACTCTTACTTCCTCCATACCTCTTTTATCCACCTCCTTTTTAAATTCATCGAAGGAAAAAAATGATTTCAACTTTACAATTACACTGTCATAAAGCCATCCATTTCCGACTTCGAATGCCTGTACAACCACCTTCATCTTTTCATTTCTGCCACCACTCTGAACGACTTCTGCAAATGATCTTCGACCTGAAACATCCATCCTTCTATGCCCAAAACTCCTCTGTGGACGCTGCGTCATCGGACCATCTCCTCTGTTGGTCATTGTATGCTGCTTGAACTCCCCTTTTTGAAATTCTGCTTTCTTTACTTTCAGGGCCTTGTTGTCGCACCATAGACCATCACCCTTCATCACCGCCATTTCGGCAGCTACCTTGCAGTCATACCTCACAAAACCAAACCTCGACCCCGTCGATTTCCGTCTTTTGGACGGGATAAAAACGTCCTTTACAACACCAAAGTTTTTAAACAACATGTACAAACCCTCTGGAGTCATCGAGTTTGGGATGTCATCCACAAAGAGAGTATACACTCCATACTCCACCGATCTACTGTATTGGTTTGCAACTCGTCTTCTTCTTATCACCGGATTCCATCCTCCATCCTCCATACTTTTTACCAAACCTTGCAGACCTTTCAAGAGATTGACACAGTATTTTTAACATTGAAAAAATCATTGAAATACACAATGTTGAATGTATACCATTGAATGTATTTCATTGGATGTATTTTTAACATTGAATGTATTTCACTGGTGCACATTTGATTCTGAACAATCATACAAATAAACAATATTTTTAACACTGAAATACCATTGACAGTGTAAATTGAATGTATTTCATTGTTATTACAGACATACAATGAAGACTATGTTTTGTTTTGTTTCAATTTCTGTCTCTGTAATTGCAGACAGAGACAATGAGGTTAGTCTTCAGCCTATACAGTGTAATTACAATGAGGTTAGTCTTCAACCTCATTGCAATTACAGATAGAGACAATGAGGTCAGTCTTCAGACATCAATGTTATTACAGACATCAATGGATTCGGTTTGGGGAGTGAGGGCAAAACAATTACAGAGATAGAGACAATGAAGACTAACCTCTAGTCGCTGTAGCGAGGGTCTGCCGGTAAGGTGGAGGAGAAGAGCGTGACAGCTCTGGTTTGCCAAGTAGACAAAATCTGTAACAGCATCGAGAGTGTTTCCCCATCGTCAGATCTGCAACGGCGTCAAGACTGGGTCGCCGGTGAGGGTGGGTTCGACAGAGAAGAAGGAATGAGTGTGTTTTTGTGAGTGTGATTCCAAACCAAAATCTGTATAACCAAAATCTATATAGGCTGTGTTTTGTGTTTCATTTTGGGCGGGAAACTAAAAATGAAATTTCAATTTATTTATTTATTTATTTTTAATGGCCGTTGGATGTGCAACGACTGATCTCAATCGTTGCAAGGAGGAGATCAATGAGGCTTCTCAAGGAGGGGATTCAGACTAGTGGGTCTTTGTCAGAAAAGTTATTGAGCTACATAACAAGTATAAGGCTTATTTGAAACATTGTTTTAGAGACCACTCTCCTTGAAAGAGGAGAAATTTCACACACCTAAATAACTTAGAGCAAATCTTTTCTCAATACAGACATTTATTAATTTATTTATTGATTGTTTTTCTCAATCCACACACTAACATTTTTATTGGGTTGATCATCTGAGTTTTCTGGTATTGATAGAGCCTGTAAGGAAATGTGATGTTTTAAGCAACATAAGAAGCATATTCACATAAAATTCCAGTTTTGTTAGAGCATCTACAATCTTTCACTAATTCCTTTTTCACGCTGCATTTCTTTAGCTTCATTGCTTGAGGCGCACACTATTTTTTAGGTATGTCAACTGCATGCAATTATGATTTGGATTATAAGCACTTGTAGTATTGTTTAATCTGATTTTGTTATGGATTTTTGATCAACATCCCCTCGTGCTGTGGCATTCTTCGATAGAATCTTACTATGTAGTTTACAAGGAGATTTAAGTATAAAACATGGATTGCCATTGCATTGACATATATGTGAGAAGAAAGTTGGGGCTTCAGGTTCCTTGATTCTGATTATTGATGTTAGGCGCTGATTATGTAATATGTGCATATCATTAGAATTATTTCTCCTTTGACTATGACTTGGCGGTAGCAATCAATGCAAGTAAAAATCACCAAGTGGCTGGCATGCTTTTCCTTGTATGAGAGAAAACACGAAAAATCCCCTCCATCCTGTAACATAGGGGGAAAAACTTTCCCCTGAATCAGGAAAATTATATATATTATTGATGATATTTTTTCTTTGGGGCATTCCTCTTTTTGATTTCTTGGTGCATACTTTTACTTGCTAATGGTTCTATTATGTAATCATATGTATTATGTGTCCTAATCTCTAAACTTACACACTGGGCGTTGTATATTCTTACACACCTTTTTCACCATCAAGTATTTTTGTAGCATTGGCATTGCGTTTCGATGTGTCCAGGGGGAAAGAGAGCCAATATTTCAAGAGTGCTTTTCTAGGATATACCATTGGTTTGGTCCT